CACGTAATTGGATCCTTATGCAGCGATGTTACCCAAGGATTATATGAATATTTTACCCAAGGATATTAAAGAAGTGTTCATGAGTCAGGAGTTTAAGTGGGGATATGTACCGGAGTGGGCACCTCCGGTGGAATTGAGGTGATAGAGATTGTGAGGTGGGGTTACAGTGAGGGACATTTAACAGAGATGTTATGCGCCATGTAGCAGTGTAGTATTATAGCATGTATTACACCAATAGCTTGATTTGTATATTTGACAATAAAAAATCATACTGACAATAAAAACTGATCGTTTTCCGGGACGTAATTCTACTTATAGATACTTTTGACGGACTTTGCGACGTGTCACAACTTATGGAAGGATTGACACCGCCAACTTTCAGATATACGTTCTCAGGGTGAGTTCAAGGCGGATGCCGGGTAAGGTAAATCTACATAGAGAAAGGTGACATTTGGATGGCATTTAGAACCAAGAGAGCACTTTATTGCTCACTCATGGCTGTGGCCCATATGACTTGGGGTGAGAACGGGGGTTGTATGACATAATGCATAAGAAGTACGATATACACAACAAAAATCCATATACTTTGTCGATAATCATCACGACATTGATGTGAAAGTTAAGATACCTACTAAGTTCGACCACCTGAGAGTCCACCCAGACCTAAACCGGGAGTCCACCGGTCAGGGAACCCTAGATGCAGTATCTTATGTTAGATCTCAATAACAACAATTTAAAGATAGGTTCAGCTGACCAGAATACCGGTGACACAACCAACAATATCTGCATCCATTATCAGAATAGAAACGTTTATGCACAGGAAGAAAAAAAAAGCATACCACCGGTAAGCGATTCAACACAGGTCGTGACTCCACTCAAGCAGCTTGAAGCTAAGAGGAAGAGGAATAATAAGCCTCGGAATCACCTGTGTAATAGCCTCGGAAGAAACTGTTTAATAGCTTATAGCCTATTACGTACCGCATGCAGCTGGGGGAGCCGGGGGAGCTGGGAAAGCTGGGGGAGCCGGGAAAGCTGGGGGGGCCGGGGGAGCCGGGAGAGCTGGAGGAGCTGGGGGAGCCGGGAGAGCTTGGCGCTTTTCAGCAGGAATCGCAGTAGCAAAGGTAGCAAATGCGACACAGAAAAGGACGAGAACGTTTTTGTACGAGAGCATTATTGATTGGCTAAGGCGTAGGGTGCGAAGAGGTGACTGATTGTACTAGAGAACACTTGAAAAGAGACTCCCTTTTATACATCACAGAGAAATTCGGCATCATGCGGCTACTAAGGTTTGACGCACTTAAGGAAGTGCGTAGGCTGCGGAAAGTGGAATTAACATGTATCTAGTCTCGATCCAGACCCGAGTGAACTGTCTTTTTTGGTAGCAAGTGGTAAAAAGTGTTGTATGGGCACGCTCACCAGGGTCTGGCGCAATGCGTATAGGCGGGTGTAGCGCGTGTCACATTGAGTGACAGCCCCGACAGCCCCTGCCACAGACGCATCTGGTAGCACGACGAAGGATGACGAGTGTCACGTTGATGTGACACGTGCTACACCCGCCCATACGCTTTGCGCCATCCCTAGTCTCGAACCAGACCCTCCGTGGCGCCCTCACCAGGTAGTTAGCATATATGGTGTGCGGAAGCAAAAAGACCGGACAAGCTTGCGCCAGACCCTCTGGCGCAAAGCGTATAGGCGGGTGTAACACGTGTCACGCAACGTGTCACATCAACGTAACACTCGTCATCCTTCGTCGTGCTACCAGACGCGTCTGTGGCAGGGGCTGTCACTCGATGCCTATAGCAAGAAGATGGTTTGTTGTTCGTGTGTTTTCTTAATAGAGAAGCAGCATGGTGACGTATGATATGCCAATAAGAAGAGCTAAGATGACTAGAACATGGATGAAAATCGAGAAGCAAAGTAGAAGTGACAATATGGCTGGTAGAGCGTGGCTGGAAGCGGGCCTCCGCCTATGTTCTGTCTTCGTTGGAAGGGCGTAGTCTCCAATACTGCACGGACACGTGATCGACGCGGAACGGTACACTGGGGTTCAAGAGCAAAAAATGGGTGTTAAAATGACAACAAAATGTGGATAAATAGACAGATGGAATAGAGAGTTTGCGCAGAAGCCACCTCGCGACTTTGCTGCCTTGACTTCCCATATGGTTGTGCTGTGGCTCCTTCCTAACTGGGAACGAGTGATTTCCCTTTGCAGAAGCCGCGATGTGGCTTAAGTGGAGCTATCTCCTGGCCCCACATCCATTAGAGTGTATTTGAAACCGATAATTATTGGGGGTTTCAGGGTCGACTCAATGGCAACTGAATTGATGTGCCTAATATGACCCTTTCGGTTTCGAATACACTCTATTAAGTCTACCCCACAGCCATTACGCCTAGACCGCTCTGTGCTTGAGAAGAAGTGACATGCCTTAGAAGCAACGAGTTATGCACGTTATGCACTATTTAAGATTGTTGAGTATGGATTCATCAGAGCAGGATTCTTGAATTCCAAATGCTTCTTACTTCCTCAGCCCAGGATTCTTGAATCCCGAAAGGCGTACATCTCGAAGATGCCAGGGCCAGTAAAGAGTCAATTAGTACCACTGATGAGATTCGACGCGAATCTAGCAGCCGAGTGACAGCCCCGGTGACCGCTGCTTCACCGATTCGTAGATAACAAACATCTTTCCACTAGAATAAAATCGCAAAATTTAGAGATTGTCCAGGAAAAAAATGCCTGATGTTTGTGAGACCTTTTCTTTCTAGGAGGAGTCATCCGGCACTGTAATCCGCAGGCCCCATGACATGAATAGCCTGCCAAACTCTAGAGAGGGGGTACCTCTCAAGATTTCAAGATTTAGAATGCGTTGTCTACGAGAATTCGAAGGTCGAGAAGTTCTTCTTGTCACAATCGAAGGGCCAAGATCACGCAAGCGCCCATTTCTCAAGGTTTAGAACGAGAAATTTAGAAGTCTGGGCTTACGGAGAGTTATCCATTCTAAATCAACTAATTATTTGGGAAATCATCAGGCTGTTAAGTTCTTTTGAAAAATCCGTACATTAATTTGGAAGTATTTATTCATTACGGAGCGAAGCCTTATTGGCGCATTTCCCAGAACCTACTTGTCACCACCTGAAGATAATTCTCAAATCTAGCAAAAGCTCATGGTGACGGCTCGGAATCTCCACCGTGTCTGAGACCCTCAGAGTAACTCGAGATATTGGCGAAATTTCCCGAACGAAATACCTTTATTCTCCCTCTTCTAAAGCGAAGCCCAGGACCCGAATTGCATAGCTAATAATTGTGTAAACAGCGCAACGTCGCAAAGCCGCGAGGTGGCGCTGTGGCTTCTGCGCAAACTCTCTAATTACTTAGGGGTTGGTCGGGAGGAACCGACTAACAGTCACCGCGCTAATCCGTCACACTAGCACAACGCCAGAACATCATTTCTGCCACAAACTGACATCTTAACTTCTGGTCTGCTTCAGGCTTAGCCGTCTCAGAACGTATTCATAGGATTCCCTTTATATTTGGCATAATTTCTAAATAGCCGAGGCATGCAAAAGGCATACATTTGTGCATAGCCTTTAGGTGACGCCGCGACATTCAGTTCCCGCTAGTCAACCGTAAGTAATCTGGCATCACTATAATTGCATCCTTGAACATAGCAAACGTGTTCTGGAGATTTTTTAGCCATGTAATAATGTGTCGTATTTATTCATCATGCGATACGGGTGTGCGAAGTTAACGCATCCGGTGCGCTAAAGTCGAACGATGTCCTCAAAGCCGGTAGGATTATGGATCGCGGATAAGGTTGTAGTTAGCAGTTTGTAACGATTAGGTCGTGCCGGAGAAAAAATCAGAACGAGAGAGTTGAAACTTCTGAGGTAATGAAGGTTGGGCATGGGAGGAACCGGGAAGCCTCGTCATGGGGTAAATTAAATCAGGTGTGAAGAACCAGGTGGTGGTCAAGTCGACCGTTTCGGACACACGCCCCTTGCGAGACTGCTGTTATTCATTCACCATCTTTATCCGGGTTCGCTGTGGCAGTGCGTTGGATACACCGTTGTCGTTCGGATACGCCTACATCGAAAAGGTATGAGGTCGCTCACCGGTATGGAGTGCGATTTTCTTATTGTGTAGTGGAAAGCATACCGAATGAGATGTTTGAGAAGAATATTCGCTTCTACCATTCATCCTTCACGTAATGGCTTACGAGCGTACCATCGTTGCGGCCAGATTTCAAGTTATTTGGATCGTCGACTTTGTATCTACCTTCGCATTCATTTTCTCGTAATCGCCATCGAGATAACTCCAATTCAATCAAATCAAGGATGACTCGACAATATCGCGAACAGATGTACAACGTTGTGTCATCAAGCTTCCTACGAGCTTCTTTAAGATATCCCAATCGAGATCAATATGCATCAGCCCATTCTTATCGAACACATCCGTTATCCTTCCAGTCTCAAAAGATCAAGTGGGGACGATGCGATAGAATAATAGGGGACGGGTGAAGTTTATAGACGCGACGGAGACGTGATCGCCGAATTAGATGCATGGATCATGGAACAATAGCTAGGGAAACAATAATTTATTTTCAGTGAACAAAATATCTTGCATTTTATTACTCTTCGTCTAACTACATTTTATTTCCATAGATACGAAGCTGTAGCACGTTTTGAAACTGTACCGTGTATCCGCGATGAGTCTTACCTGGTGATTCCATCCCGTTTACCTCTTCCTCGATCCTTCAAATAATCAGATCTCGTCTTATGTATGTACGAAAGCCAGTTCCAAAAAATCGATGTATCCTTTTTGCTCCTAGTCCCCCTGGATCAGAACTATTTGCGTCGAAACTGAAAGTGGACAGGAAGCAGAATCAACGCAAAATAATCAAATTGGAAGGGAAATATCCCTCAGGACGTTTCGCTTTTACCCTTTGGTCTCGAGTATTATTATTATTTGTCCTGTCTTGGCTTGAAGCTTGTGGCAAAAGTAACGACCATCACAGGGATCGAACCTGTAATCTCTTGATATCAGTGCCAGCAATACCATCTGACAGAAGATGATCGAAGTCAAACACGTTGCCATTACGCCAGGGAACTATTCAAGGCTGCTATATGAGGCGAACCATACTAGAATGGAACAGAAATAAGGCATACGGAAGGGGATTGAGGACATGCTATCGTTGTGCGCGTTGGTTTGGTCCACATTGTGCAATCCTTACTGCGCGC